ATTTGCATGGCATGCGACTTGAAAATTGCATGCCAAGTCGCACCCTATTGTCTGCAACAGGGGGGTGAACTGACAACTCATGGAGCCCCTGGGCAATAGGGGATCATGGGGCCCCTGTGTCCAAAATCCTATGAAAAAGGTACCAGGGGCATCTTATGGGGCCCCTTACTGACCCAGGGCCCTTTGGGCAGTGCCTGAGTTTCCAAATGGTCAGTCCGCCCCTGGTCCCAATTACAGCAGTCATATTGGACTTGGTCGGAACCGAATTCTAAAGTAGTACATGCACTACAGAGGCGGACTGACCATTTGGAAACTCGGGCACTGCCCTGAGGGCCCGGGGTCAGTAGGGGGCCCCATGAGATGCCCCTGGTACCTTTTTCATAGGCTTTTTTGAATTTGGGCAAGGAGAAAGGGGCCCCACGATCCCCTATTGCCCGGGGGCCCCATGAGTTGTCAGTCCACCCCTGTGCACTACTTTTGTTGGGATTTGCATAGACATCTGTGTCAGATGTCTTACAAATTGCACCTGAATTCGGCACCTGAATTTGAAATTTAAAAGTCGGGTTTATTGTGACCGGGATATAAAGCCAGGAATACACGGTAAGAAAATTGTACTAAAAATTTTGTTGATCAAATGATCGACCGATTTTCTCTTCGTTGATGAGCGGAATGTTGTAACCAATAACGATATTGTGAACGAAAAAATCCGGTTGAACAACAGTGAGAAATTTTGCCGTTTCGCTTGCGAACGACCGATTTTCTATGCGGTGGTATGACGGCCATCCGAAAAAAATCTATCAAGCGCTATCATCCATAAACGGAAACAGAAGATGACCCGGATGTTTATGTCCAAGGATCCATAAATCCAATTTAATCCAATTAATTCCAAGGATTTATGTCCAATCGCTCGTTCTTCTTGTTCTGGGTGGCAGGGCGTGGCTACAAGGTCACAATGCATCACTTCCACTTGTACAGAAGTTGTCAACACTACGTATTGCTCAATGAACATTTTTTTTTTTCGATTGGTTAATGTGGGCCACGATTTCGACCAATGAACGAACGCCGATCGATCGGTCATACGACGATCGATCGGCGTTCGTTCATTGGTCGAAATCGAACGCTGATCGATCGTCGTATGACCGATCGGTCGATTTTCTTACCGTGTATTCCTGCCATAAGTGTTGAGTTGATGCCGGCAGGTTGATATGTTTCTTCTATAATTCCTGGGGCTGTGAGATGCTACACCTGCGATTCCAGGCTTACTCACCTGCTGCCGCCTATTACAGCTGCGGGGAAGAATGCCTAGAAAGTAAAAGCACCTGCTGCACTGACATGTTATATCTGAATGATAGTACAGCCTGCAGGTGTCTTTAATGGCTACATACAAAAATATGATTCATGCCTGCAAGCCATCGCTCCTTTTAAGTTACGGATTCCCTGTACCATGTGACCGAGCGCACATCGCTCACACACGTGAACACGACACGCCAGCAGGGATGTGTCAGCAATGTGCGAAGCTGAACTGAAGAGTGGAAGTGAAAGGGACAGCTGTGTTTGTATTCATATATCACCTGTACTGCATCGCCAGTGCGGCTCCCCCCTCCTCCGGAAAATACTAGTTGACTGGGGGGTCCATTAATGCAGGCCATAGACGGTTCGTTTATCAGCCGATTTTTCGTCCGAAAAACGAAAATCGTTCATTCTGTAATCCAATGTTGCCACCAATGATTTCGAAAATCGGACGTTTTTCATTAATTTTCCAGCATGACCGATAAACGAAATGAGGAACCACAAAAATGTCAGTGCCCCACTAATGCAGGCCATATACGGGTCGAATATTGGCCGATTTATTGAACGATAATTAAAAAATGGACGTTCGTTCGGCCGACGTTACCACCGAGTAAAAAAATCGGCCGACTAAATCATAACGTTCACCCCATAACTTCTGTCCCTTGCAGGTCACAGCTCATGCGGCGATTTTTTTATCATGGTAAAACGATCAGTCGATTTTGCCATCATTGCCAGGAAAATCGGCCAATCATTCAAATCGGCCACAAATTTTCCAACATGACCGATAATCTCGAAGTGCAAAAAAACCCGAAAAACGGCTGACCAATTAACCCACAAACAGTGCGAAAATCGGCCGATTTTTTTTCTGGGAAAAATCTATTTTCAACCGTCTATGCATTTAAATCTGGTGCACACTTTGCATTTTGCAGTGCGTTTTGCACAGCAGTCCATTTAACATGATTTTTTATGGGACAGGTTCACATCTCCGCATTTTCACCTGGTGCGTTTTTTGGACAGGGTCAGCCTGGGTTCACACTGATGCGGTGCGGCATATCACGTTCTGTGCGGTGCGGCATATCGCGTTCTGTGCGGTGCGGCATATCGCGTTCTGTGCGGTGCGGCATATCGCGTTCTGTATGCGGCATATCTCGTTCTGTGCGGTGCGGCATATCACGTTCTGTGCGGTGCGGCATATCACGTTCTGTGCGTGCGGCATATCACGTTCTGTGCGGTGCGGCATATCACGTTCTGTGCGGTGCGACATCATCACGTTCTGTGCGGTGCGACATATCACGTTCTGTGCGGTGCGGCATATCGCGTTCTGTGCGGTGCGGCATATCGCGTTCTGTGCGGTGCGGCATATCGCGTTCTGTGCGGTGCGGCATATCGCGTTCTGTGCGGTGCGGCATATCGCGTTCTGTGCGGTGCGGCATATCGCGTTCTGTGCGGTGCGGCATATCGCGTTCTGTGCGGTGCGGCATATCGCGGTGCGGTGCGACATATCGCGTTCTGTGCGGTGCGGCATATCACGTTCTGTGCGGTGCGACATATCACGTTCTGTGCGGTGCAGCATATCACGTTCTGTGTGGTGCAGCATATCGCATGTGATTCGCACAGGAACTGCACCGTATTCCTGTGCAAATCACATGCGAATTCTGTGCGCTGTGATTTGAGGCATACAATTTGTATGGCTCAAATCGCACTGCATCAGCACCAAAAAAGATGCAGGTCCCTTTTTTTGGTCCGCACTAGAATTGGTTAGCAGGGGTATTCACACCCATGCTATCTGATTCTGCACATCGCACTGCGTTTTGCGAACCAGTTTCAGGGTGTTGTTAACTTAAACACATCTGCAAAAATGCATAAAGCACTGCAGAAACGGATCAAACGCAAACTGCATAGGTGTGAACCGAGCCTCAGGGACTTTTTTCAATGCAAAACTTTGCATTTTTGGTTCTATAGACATCAATGGAATTGCTGTAGAAAATTTTGAAGTGTGTTTTTGATGCGTTTTTGATGCGTTATGTGTTTTAATCTGCCCAGCAACAAGTTGAAGAAAAAATCACATCAAAAACACAGCAAAAACGCATGTGCAAAAGCGCACCGCAAAAAGCACTGCAGAAACACATCAAATGCAAACCGCATAGGTGTGAACCGAGCCTCAGGGTCTTTTTTGGTTCTATAGACTTAAATAGAGATGCTGTTGAAAACCATGTAGTGGTAGTTTGTGATGCTTTTTTGACGCGTTTTTGCATCTTAATCTGCCCAGCAACAAATTGGGAAAAAACTGCATAAAAAATGCATGTGCACAAATGCAAAACACACCGCAAAAAGCACTGCAGAAATGGATCAAATGCAAACTGCATAGGTGTGAACTGAGCCTCAGGGACTTTTTTCAACACAAAACGTTGCATTTTTGGTTCTATGGACTTAAATATAGACACTTTTGAAAACCATGTAGTGCATTTGTGACGCTTTTTTGACATGTTTTGCGTTTTAATCTACCCAGCAACCAGTCAGAAAAAAAAATGCATCAAAAATGTGGCAAAAATGCACCGCAAAAAGCACTGCAGAAGCAGACCAAACGCAAACTGCATAAGTGTAAACCGAGCCTCAGGGTCTTTTTTAAATGCAAAACATTGCATTTTTGGTACTAGGGACTTCAATGGAGACGCTGCAGAAAATCATGTACTGTGTTTTTGATGCATTTTTTGACGCATTTTGTTTTTTAATCTTCCCAGCAACAAGTTGGAAAAAAAAGCAAAACTCATCAAAAACAGATGTACAAAAACACAAAATGCACCGCAAAAAGCATTTCAGAAAAGCATCAAACGTAAACTGCATAGGTGTGAACCCAGCCTAAAGGTTACCATGTGATAACACAGTCACGTGACTCATTTGCATAAATTATCGCATGAGAGAATAAAAGAGTCAATTCATCAAAGTAAAATATCGAATGTGAGCCAAATACCACAAAAAAACATGAGAAAAATCATTCAGTCAATTCATTAAAACGTACACATTTGTTATTTATCACCTGGTGTTCACTGGCGGGATTTTAGAAATGTACGAAATAACAATTAGAGCAGTGATGGCGAACCCGTGGCACGCGTGCCAGAGCCGGCACGCCGAGCCTTATCTGTGGGCACGCCAGGAGAATACCGTATTTTTCGCTCCATAAGACGCACTTTTTTTCCCCCAAAAGAGGGGGGAAAATGTCAGTGCGTCTTATGGAGCGAATATAGAGCGGGCTGGTCCGGTATTTCCACGCCGCCGTGTCAGAATACCGGGCCGGCCGCTCAGCTCTGCAGTGGGACCGTACCTGTCCCTCTATCCAGCGGCGCGCTGTCTTCCCGGCTTCTGTAGTGTGCGTGACAGCCGGGTCCCAAGTGCGCATGCGCAAGAAGCAGTGCTCTTTGTGAATGGTAAGGCGGTACCTGGGACACATGACAGATCCCAGAAGCCGCCGGACCAATCACAAAGCGCAGTGCTTCTCGCGCATGCGCACTGGGCATCCGGCTGTCCGACGAGCGCCCACACTACAGAAGCCGGGAAGACAGCGCGCGGCTGGATAGAGGAACAGGTAAGATAAAAAAAAAAACTCTGCGGAAGTAAGAGCGGGTACCTGTCAAATTCAGGTACCCGCTCCCCCTCCCTCCCCAAAGGTCAGCAGTCATCTGTACTGTCCGCAGTCTCTGGTCATCCCTGTGCTTTCCGCAGTCTCTGGTCATCTCCTGTACTGTCCGCAGTCTCTGGTCATCTCCTGTACTGTGTCCGCAGTCTCTGGTCATCCCTGTACTGTGTCCGCAGTCTCTGGTCATCCCTGTACTGTCCGCAGTCTCTGGTCATCCCTGTACTGTCTGCAGTCTCTGGTCATCCCTGTACTGTCCGCAGTCTCTGGTCATCCCTGTACTGTCCGCAGTCTCTGGTCATCCCTGTGCTGTCCGCAGTCTCTGGTCATCCCTGTACTGTCCGCAGTCTCTGGTCATCCCTGTACTGTGTCCGCAGTCTCTGGTCATCTCCTGTACTGTGTCCGCAGTCTCTGGTCATCCCTGTACTGTGTCCGCAGTCTCTGGTCATCCCTGTACTGTCCGCAGTCTCTGGTCATCCCTGTACTGTGTCCGCAGTCTCTGGTCATCCCTGTACTGTGTCCGCAGTCTCTGGTCATCCCTGTACTGTCCGCAGTTCTGGTCATCCCTGTGCTGTCCGCAGTCTCTGGTCATCCCCTGTGCTGTGTCCGCAGTCTCTGGTCATCCCTGTACTGTCCGCAGTCTCTGGTCATCCCTGTACTGTTAATTAGTTTGTACTACTGTACGAGTTGTTTTTTCTAAACCAAAAGCTCGATATTCAGGTTTCATTGCAGTGTTGGCACTTTGAAAGAAATAAGTTGGTTTTGGGTTGCAGTTTGGGCACTCGGGCTCAAAAAGGTTCGCCATCACTGAATTAGAGGATCTCTTCTCTGGACAGAAAGCGAAACGTATACAATGTATCAATGTGAAAATGTTCTCTGATCTCAGGTATGAGAATAAATTGTAACATTTCATCAGAGGGAGATCATTTTGTGAATGAAAGCACACTACAATGTTTTCATAGTTTCACAGTATTGCTGTTTGCATTCTGGTGAAGTGTTAGCCTGCAAAAAAAAAAAAAAAAAGTTGTGAAAAAACACCAGAAGTGAGAATAACACAACTCCATGAATCCAGATCTTATCGCTCTGCATCTACTAGATGCTCCTCAAGATCTTCCAGATCCCTACAATCAAGGTCTTCTACACTCAGTCAACAACTAATAAAAAAACGTGCTGATGCTGAAGCTTCTAAAATCCAGGCAGCTTTCACCCAAAAGAAAGCAGAAATAGAGGCTCAGGCCGCACATCAGTAAGCAGAAAAAGAAGCTGAAGCCACACGCCAAAAGGCAGAAATTGAAATTTTGGAAAAACAATGTGAGCATGCCACTGCCATGGCAAGCTTAAGGGCAGGGGCTGACTGACAACTCATGGGGCCCCCGGGCAATAGGGGATCATGGAGACCCTGTGTCCTTGCCCAAACTCAAAAAGCCTATGAAAAAGGTACCAGGGGCAATTCATGGGGCCCCCTACTGACCCCGGGCCCTCAATCGGGGATCATGGGGCCCCTGTGTCCTTGCCCAAACTCAAAAAAGCCTATGAAAAAGGTACCGGGGGCATCTCATGGGGCCCCCTACTGACCCCGGGCCCTCAATAGGGGATCATGGGGCCCCTGTGTCCTTGCCCAAACTCAAAAAAGCCTATGAAAAAGGTACCGGGGGCATCTCATGGGGCCCCCTACTGACCCCGGGCCCTCAATAGGGGATCATGGGGCCCCTGTGTCCTTGCCCAAACTTAAAAAGCCTATGAAAAAGGTACCAGGGGCATCTCATGGGGCCCCCTACTGACCCCGGGCCCTCAATAGGGGATCATGGGGCCCCTGTGTCCTTGCCCAAACTTAAAAAGCCTATGAAAAAGGTACCAGGGGCATCTCATGGGGCCCCCTACTGACCCCGGGCCCTCAATAGGGGATCATGGGGCCCCTGTGTCCTTGCCCAAACTTAAAAAGCCTATGAAAAAGGTACCAGGGGCATCTCATGGGGCCCCCTACTGACCCCGGGCCCTCAATAGGGGATCATGGGGCCCCTGTGTCCTTGCCCAAACTCAAAAAAGCCTATGAAAAAGGTACCAGGGGCATCTCATGGGGCCCCCTACTGACCCCGGGCCCTCAATAGGGGATCATGGGGCCCCTGTGTCCTTGCCCAAACAAAAAAGCCTATGAAAAAGGTACCAGGGGCATCTCATGGGGCCCCCTACTGACCCCGGGCCCTCGGGCAGTGCCCGAGTTTTCAAATGGTCAGTCCGCCCCTGGTTAAGGGTCTTAGAACAAGCCATAAGTGAAAATGAAAGAAACAACAGTTCCAGACACTCAGTTGTATCTTATGTCTCAGATTCTTCACACACCTCTCCAGAACATCAACTCCCTCTCACAGCAGCCAAACTACAACATCAAAGTCTCTTTTCTGCACCTACTGTACCTCAAGACCATTTGCCCTTATATCCTCCAATACATCAGACTGCAGCATCTCAGCTAGCCGCAGACACTGGTGTGTATTTAATAGACCATCCACCTTACTTTGGCACCAACAGAGTACCTTCTAGCAAACACACTACTCTACAAACCAACATACCAATGGACTGTAAGCTAGCTCTGGCATTGATTGACTTAGCAGCAACATATGTTCCCAAGTCACTCCACGTAAGTCCACCAACCGTCACAACCAACTCTGTTCCACCTATAGTCATGCACCCAAAATCTGAAAACACAGACATTTCACAGTTTGCTAAATACATGCTCCGCAGAGAGCTTGTTAAGACAGGCCTCACCAAGTTTGATGACAAGCCTGAAAATTACAGAGGCTGGAAATCCACTTTTAAGGCCACAATGAGTGACCTAGACATCAATGCCACAGAGGAATTAGACCTACTCATCGGATGGCTTGGTCCCCAGTCTACTGAACGCATCAAGAGGCTCAAAGCAGTTCATATTGACAACCCTGCTGCAGGCCTTAATGCTGCTTGGGGCAGACTTGAACATACCTTTGGCAGCCCAGAGGCCATTGAAGAAGCTTTATTCAAAATGTTGCAAAGCTTCTTAAGGATTTCTGCTAGCGACAATCTAAAGTTTCAAGAACTCAGCGATGTTCAATTAGAGCTTCAGCTTGCTAAGGCTGACATCAACTTACCTGGTCTCAGTTACCTTGACACCTCTCATGGCATCAAATCTGTTGTTCTCAAGCTACCATATGAAATTCAAGAAAGATGGGCAGCGCTTGAATCAAAGTATAAGGAAGAATATATATAGTTGCCTTTCCTTCCTTTTCCTACTTCTGCGAGTTTATTTCATAGAATTGCAGACACTAAGAATGACCCGAGTTTCTCAAATGGGGACTGTAACCTTTTCAGTACATTCTTTCCAAGACCTACAAACACATGTATGTCACACAGAGACCATAGAGATCCAGTGTTAGTGAAAAGGACTAATGTTCTACCTGCACCTGCTACAGTTCTTGAAAAGACTGATCAAAACAAAAGAATTGAGGACCCAAATTGCCAATGTCCAATACATAACAAACCACATCCACTTAAGAAATGTATTGGCTTCAGAAAGAAAACCCTCCAAGAACGTAAGGAACTTTTGAAGAAATTTGGGGTTTGCTACAAATGCTGTGCCTCCACAGAACACTTTGCAAAGGACTGCAAAGCGATCATCAAATGTATAGAGTGTGACAGTGATGACCATGTGCAAGCTCTTCATCAATATTCACACAACTCTACTATGCTCACAAACAATCTTCCTGAGGCAAAGCAAGGAGGGGAGCGCCCAGATAAAGCAGCACCTACCACCCCAGTGTTCTCTACATGCACAGAGGTCATCTACATGATCATCCTATGACAAATCCTGTGCAAAGATATGCTTGGTACATGCAGACCCCAAAGGTCAACCTGAAAAGGCCATAAGACTGTATACTATTCTGGATGATCAGAGTAACAGATCTCTTGAAAGAACTTTTTTAAGAAGTTTTTTTAAACTGTTGAACATAACTGGAGATGCTCTGCCTTATACTCTAAGCACTTGTTCTGGCACTACAGAAGTCTTAGGTAGGAGAGCCAGTGGTCTTGTAGTTGCTCCTCTGAATGACAATGTGGAAATATTTTTGCCCACTATCACTGAGTGCAACCAGATTCCAAACATCAAAGAGGAGATCCCTATGCCTGAAGCTGCCTTTCACTATTCTCACTTAAAGGACATAGCCAACCAAATACCAGCCCTCGACGAAAGTGCTGATATCCTGCAGTTACTTGGTTGAGACATCCTACGGGTACACAAAGTTTGTCATCAAATCAACGGTCCACACAATGCACCATATGCTCAGTGTCTGGATCTAGGATGGGTCATCATAGGCAATGTCTGCCTAGACAAGGACAGGAGGTCCTACTCAGTCTCTTCCTTTAAAACACATTTCCTGTCAAATGGACAAACAACTTGTTCTACACAACAACCACATAAATATATCATGAAAGAAAGACTGAAAATGTGTGTCACAACTGGTACATCTGTAAAGGCCCCCTATAATTGAGGAGGTCTTTCAAGCAGTAAGGGTCACTATTCTATGTGTCCAACATGAACTGTACTCACAAGAGATTACTAACATATCAAAAGGACTCAACCTATCTAAGGATAGCTCTCTGTACAAATTAATTCCAATAATTGATCACAACAAGCTATTGCGAGTCGGTGCTCACATTGGAAGATCCGATTCATCCAGTGAAGAGAGAAATCCCCTCATTATTCCAGGACGTCATCACATTACTGCTCTTTTAGTTAGACATTTCCATGAGCAAGTTCAGCACCAAGGTCGTCACTTTACTGAGGGAGCAGTAAGGTCTGCAGGTTTCTGGATCGTCGCAATGAAAAGGCGTATATCGTCCATACTCCACAAATGCGTCAAGTGCCAAAAACTAAGAGGGAAGCATCTACTACAACAAATAGCAGAGTTGCCAGCTGACCGAATCAGCACTAAACCACCATTTACCAATGTTGTCATGGACATATTTGGCCCCTGGACTGTTGTTACACGCAGAATTCATGGTGGAGTTGCTAACAATAAGCGATGGGCTGTGCTGTTCACTTGCTTGAGCATTCGTGCAGTGCACATCAAAATGATAGAATCAATGGACTCTTCTTGCTTCATTAATACTTTCAGAAGATTTGTTTCTGTACGAGGACCTGTAAAGTTACTTAGATCTGACTGTGGGACTCATTTTACAGGAGCAGAAAAGATAGGGAACTTCTTAAATGGCAACAAGTGTGAATGGGAATTCAACCCACCTAATTCCTCTCACATGGGAGGCTTTTGGGAACGCATGATTGGAGTTGCAAGAAAGATCCTGGACTCTATGCTACTTCTCAATTTACTCATGAAATCTTAGTCACTCTTCTTGCAGATGTGTCTGCTATAATCAATGCAAGGACATTGTCCCTGTGTCCTCAGATCCAGAGTCCCCAGTGTTGCTCACTCCAGCCACTCTTCTTACCCAAAAAATTGGGATAGCCACTATTCCCACAGAGGAACTTGATTACCCTAACATTTACAAGCATCAATGGCGATGGGTTCAACATGTTGCTAATGTGTTTTGGAACCGCTGAAAGATGGAGTACCTTTCTAACCTTCAAAGTCATAATAAATGGCAAACTAGCAAACCCAATCTACAAGTGGGAGACATA